CAAAAGGGCTGAGAGCTGCTAAAATAAGCCTAAGGTCAGGCATTCCAGTGGAACTGCTATGATGAAGTATAAAGTGCGCACCGGACCAAAACTGAAAGTTAAACAGGCGACCAAAATATTACAATAAGTACCTCCTAACTACAAATAGCTTCCTTGTAGTTTGCAATTCTTCAACTGCAAGGCCGATTTACGCAGTGACTTTCTCTTGTGCCAAATACCCCACTCTTTATCGTCGACAACTGAGCTCCAGCTATCTACCTCATTTGCATTTTATGGTTGCCAGCTTGGTTTTGCAAGTGAACACCTGGTACAAAATACTATAGTAATCATTAGTCGGCGCACTGTCTTCCGTCCTGAAGTGTGGTATAATGTCTTTGTGAGACCAGTTTTGGTGTAAGGCCCCGCTTTATTTATCATAGCCATTAATTCTGTATCCTGGCTAGTGGACAGATCTCGGAGGTCACTGTTATTTGCCCTTCACAGTGGATAATTCAGCTCACAACCTGTGCACACCTACACACCCGCACGCACACAAAAAGCATGCGTAGTTCCTTGACCATGAAGTAGTGCATTAAACGTGGATTACTCACAAGATGTTCAAGAATGGAATGCCCTATCGCTGGGACGTCCGCCATCATTAGTGTCTCTGGAGTGGTAATTCTACGTAGGTAAGTGCATACCGACCAGTGGAATTACCAAGACGAAGGCTTAGTTGCCCCAAATTTAAAACAAGAATTAAAATAAAAATAATCAAAAGGTACAATAGCGCTCCCATACGCTACCTTCTAGTCCCATTTGTGGATTACATTGGGACTTATTTTCTTCTTTTTACTATCACAAGGACTGGAATTATCCCACCAGACTTTCACTCTTCCAACTGTCTTCCGTTATTGAAAAAGGTGGCTTGTAAATACGAAGTAAAGGAGATAAATGCGATTTCGTCGCATCTTACTGTCGATTCAGTGCTTGTGTTTGCTAGTAAGCTATAGGGATTTGTAAAAATTCTGCAGACATTCCCAGAAGGTGCACCTCAGTTCCATTTTACTAGCTATCACAAAAAGATTTTACCTCCTAATACTACGAAGCAGCAAAATGAAATAAATACAAGTAGCATTTAGAGAATTTAATACATATTCAAGGAGGCAGTGCTTTAATTCCAAGCCCTTGCCGTTATGGGCGAATAGTTTGAATGGGCATAGGAGTAGTAAGAATGTCTTTTTACCTAGAGAGGGGGAGGCACAGCCTGCGATCTACTTAAGTAAGCACTCACACACTGTTAATGCACAGGTTCTTCCTTGATAGATCGGCTTTCCTGGCAACTCTACTGTTTTAAACATCACATGTGCTCATTATGATTGTAATGATCCAACATAAGTTCCCTGAAGGTAAATTTTGCCGACAATCGGTGATGGCGCCTGCTGTGGGTCCACTTGCAGACCTCTAGTATCAAGTTCCTGACAAAAAGAACTGCTTTGTAGACCACTAACACAAAGGGTTACGCTAACAGTCGCTGTTCTTCGTGGCATTTACGTGACAATAGAAAGTCATTATTAGAATCCCCTAATTTGACTTAAATCGTTGCGCTCGGGATACGTAGAAGCATGCAGTTTGTCTTTGGAGTGGGGACCAGCCCAAAGACTTGAGGTTTTGTGGGATCATTCCCTCACATCAGATGTTCTGCATCCTTTCCTCCTTTACCATTCAAATGAATCCGATTCGCTTACTGCAGTCATCAGTGTATTGCTTCAACATGACATGTCCCTGGAGGAGATAGGAGATCATAAGCATGGTCACAAGGTCATGAGAAGCTTCCGTAGTCAAATGAACTTATGGTAAAGTGGTATTCAAAAGAGCTCCACAGAAGTAGGAAAGTAGACTTTCATTCTTTGTTTCGGTCACTAATTTCATGTCACTGTCAGGGCTTTAAATTTACCGTGCAATAAGGCTGCAACCCCGGGAGGTAAATGACAAATGGTTTTCTCAGGCAAAAACAACACATCTAGAACCAGTCTTTGGCTTAAAGGCTCCCCTCTGGTAGGGTTTGAATGAATGTAAATATTTGATAAGACAAATATGCATAGGCAAAACTCAGGTTTTTCTCAACTTTGTTAATTGAAAGTAAAAGTTCTAAGAATAATAATGTTATCAACAAATGCCTTTCTAAAAAAGGCCTAATTTTTTCGAGGACATAAAATATTCCTTGCTTTTACCTTTTTTACCAGGTTTTATAGTTGGATTTTAACCATGTGGAAATTAATTTAGTATTCTTTCCTTCAAAGAAGAATGCATAAATTGGGGATTGTTTTCATTTGACAGCGCACAGGAAAGATTTTCACCCCCAACAGAGAAAGGATAGCAGTTTAACTTCCTTATTTAATAAATACTTTTGAGGATTAATTCCAACAACTTGCAACATTTTGCCTTATAAAATAGAAAGACTCAGGGTCCCTCCAAAATTTTCAGGCCATAACTATCATTTCCCAGATTGGATTAGCTGAATGTCAACTGCTGTGCATTGCAGTAGTTTCACAGATGAAATCTAACTTCTCCACGCTCATTTATGATGAAGTAAAGAGGATTGTTAAAGAGATCAAAAAGTCCATCCTCATATTTTAGGATAACATGATAAATAATCAGTCAGGTGTTTTACGTCAGCAATAACAGGGAGTCTATCGCAGTAGAGCTGCATTTGTTCCAAATGATATCAATGTTGTGCAAAATTCCTACAAGTTAGTACCTTCTTTGTGCTAAAACCACATGGGAGGGCTCCTTGTGCACTGACAATCGGGGTTGTAGTAGTGTGCATCTTTGATTAACTTACCTACACTAAAGTCACAAACATATGAGCCGTGCGGCCTCGTGTAAAATGCCCTCCTTTACGGTGTCTTGAGCAGTTTATCCCATTTTGCACTTTACTGAAACAATGCAATGCTGGAACTATGGGAATGGAAATTTCAAAGCCCTTCTATTCATCTGGAGGTCAGTCATTCCACCACTTAGGCGAAGAAACAAACCAGACGGATGGCGCTGTTCCACGTAATAGGGTGTAACTCAAAATGTTTGGTTTACTTTTTACCCCCATTCATCCTTAAAGGCTTCCATTCATAGAATTTTATCAAATTTTTTCAGTTATTTTGATTTGTTGGATAGGTTTTCTAGGCAAATGCAGTTGCTCATAGAATCGTGAGAGGTAACTAAATGGGGCTGACCACTTTTTGTCAGCTTCCTTTCCATTTACAAGTGACTCAGATTTGCTATTTTCAAATTTATGAAAATAAACGAATTGCCATAATTAAATG